GAGAATTTTTGGTAATTTCAGCGCTAATTGAGAAACCTTTTAAAAAATTGCTGTGTTTTCTCAAGAAAGTGGAATCGCTCAGAAAAATATATACTATTCTAAATCCAGAGATTCAGCTGGATCAAATGAGGCGACCACCGACTGCATGTTGTCCATCAGCCCGCATTTCTAAACCGTCGAAAACACAAACAGCACATTTATAAACTGTCGAAAACACCGAATGTTGGCTTCGAAGATTTAGACAAATTATTATTCAGTGACTGATTACCCACCTAAACCTGATTATCAAACAGAAGCTCAGCCTAAGCATCATCCTCAACCTCATCCTAGACCTGAAAATAAGAATATTTTCAACAAGAATACAATATGAGTCGGCTTTTTTAAAAAATATACCGTTCCCAGGGAATATGCTGAGTTATTCAGACTCCCTTAATCTTCAGCTATGCCACTCAGAATAAACAAAGTACGGTATATTACATTATTCGAGTAACCATGATTCTCGATTTATCAATCTACGTGAGTATATTTTGTACTATTCAATCGAGAATCTCGTTTTTCTAAAAATATGTACTGTTACAAGAGATATGCTCGGTAGAGAACATGGGATACGTGGGAATATGATGACATGCTCGGTGAAAGAAAATATGCGCCCATAGTTTGTTCGATCAATGAATTAATAAATGTTTCCACAGTGGAGTTGAACTATGGATGATGAAAGAACTTACAATTAGGAAGAACACATGAGAAGAATGGACTCCATTTAAAAATCGCACCGATTCGGGCTCTACCTCTGAGATATCAAGAGGACTGTTCATGTATGTTTTGCTTATGTATATTTGTAAATCAATCGATACACATACAACATTTTACTTTTAAACAACAACAACAACAGCAACGCTAATTACAACGATGATAATAATAACAATGATAAGACGAGAACAATTCTAACTCAAAGCAATCCTGAATATATGAAATGAACAAACGAACAAAATCAAGTCAAGACAATCCCAAACGAATAAAGCACCTCCTCAATCTTTAAATCCTCGATTTGTAACCAATGAATTCACCCACCAAACACTTTTTCCTTGATACTATTAAAGCTTAATGAAAGCAGTGCAGAGGATGGAACTTCACTGAGTTTTGTCAAACCGTAGGTTTGGCGAAACTCTCAGTAAAGGTCCATTCTCTGTACTGCCTTCATTAAATTTCGTCCGCTCAAATCAAGGTAATATTCAACGCTGAATCTCTCCATTCGAGCTTTTCGCCCCATGCGGATGACATTTCAACGCCGAATGAAATTGAATTCTAAAATTTCAGAAAATTTCTTGGCACTCAAATTTCCTCCACTAAAAATTTCCATATGGCGATAGAATTTCCACTTTCTATTCTAGTAAATTGAATGGAAACCTTGCTCAATCGGTATCAAAATTTTTCGCAGACGGATGTTTGGATAGATTCGCAAGAAAACTGGGCGGACATTGAATGTCTAGATAGACACTGAATAGGAATAGAGTTGAGGCGTTCAGCGACCGAAACAACGCTGAACGCTTACTCCATACCTCTTATATTTGTTGAAAATTAATTACCATCAACAACGATGATATCAACAATAAATTGAGTGATAACAATACCAATTCTCATTATAATAACAATAATGATACATGTGAACCTCAACCCTAACAACGTCCAGAATATTAATATTAACCCGGATAGTTACAATAATGATAATAATAATATTATAAATATGGATAATAATTATAATGACCTTCATCCAAGCAGTACCACACGGATGATCTAGTCCAAAACAACTCAGAGGCTAATCTCGCCTTCATCCAAACTCCAACCCATGCCCCGACTCCTGTTTAAGAATCTCCAATTTTGATTGGTAAAACGCAAACTCAAACTGCAGACTTATCATCATGCAAACAACAGATTGAAGCATCATTAAATAACATGACATGCTATTCTTAATCAACTTTTTTGGACCTTTTCAATCGAATGTTACTGGATCTTTTCAATCGAAATATTTCACAAACAAAATGAATTAATGAATGAAAAGCTAGATATCCTTTAACACACATAAATACAAATCAGTAATTATGACATAGTATCAAGGGGACGGATTTTGAGAATACTTCATAAATAACGATAATTGAAATAAGAATTGATATCATATACGTATATACTAATGATGACAATAATACATACACTAATTAG